CTGACCTCAAGTGATACACCTGCCTCAGCTTCCCAAAATGCTAGAATTACAGGCATGAGCCACTGCGTCCGGCCCCCCCACTAAAAAATTTTAATTAGGCGGGTAAATTGGCACACGCCTGTAGTCCCAGCTACTCAGGAGGCTGAGGCGGGATCATGGATTGAGCCCAGCAGGTCAAGGGTGCAGTGAGCCTTGATCATGCCACTGCACTCCAGCCTGGGCAACAGAGCGAGTCCCTATCTCAAAAAATAAATAAGATGAGAAACTGGGGCACAGAGCATCCCATTGGCTGACACACACACAGAGCTGAGCAGAGCCAGGGCAGACACCAGGATCCCCCAACTCCCAGCCAGTGCTCTTATGATGCCAATCAGAAGCACAAAAGAGCCACACGTGTGCCTCCTGTCATAGCCAGCAGGATTCCTGGGGGAAGACCGAGGCAGGGCAAGACTTAAAATACAACTTCCCAGTCCCAGGGCAGTTCCCAGCTGGAGTTGGGAGGATGTATCTCGCAGTGGCAACAGGACCCATCAGTGTCCACCTAAGTGGAGAGTCTCTGCCTCTGCAGCCATGGGCTGGGACCATGAGCCTGGTCTTCCCCTGGACATGTACCCTCTGGCCCTTGCTGTGGGTGATGAGTTCTACAGCCTTACCAGCCTCAGTTTCCCCAAGAATACACTCAGGGGCCATGAAGGAAAAATGGGTAGAAATACTCCAAGGCCTGGTCACTTGAGTTTCCCAGTGGATGCAAGGACAGATCACCATGAGGGTGGCAGGGAGCCAAGGGGCCTGGGGCCTGTGAATGCCCTGGGCTCCTCTCTCCCTACTCCAGGGTGCAGTTGAGGAGGGAACTCTGTAGGCTGGGCAGTCAGCCTGTGCCCACACTCCCACCTTATAGAAAGACAGGCCCCTGGCACCACACAGCTGGGCTGGCATGGTGGATCCATTCCCTGACTCCTCATGAAGGGCTGGGCTCTCTCAGGAGCAGGAGGTATCCACAGACCACCGCTCACAGGACCAGGCTGTGACCATCCCAGAGAGGGAGGGCTCTAGCTCTCGCAGACCCAACCCTTGGAGGAAAGTGGAGCAGGGCAATGCAGTGCTGGACCACCAGCTCACACCCTCCCTCCCCCTCCCCTCCTCCACGCATGCTCCAGCCCTCCCTCCCCCTCCCCTCCTCCACGCATGCTCCAGCCCTCCTTTCCCCTCCCCTCCTCCACACATGCTCCAGCACAGTCACTCCTCTCCACCCAGTGTTCCTATTGTAGAATGGCAGAGACCATGATGACAGCGTCTACTTCATGGAGCAGCTGCGTGGCATGGATGAGCTGTCACAGGTCAAGTGTTTACAACAGGCCTGCTCTCGGGAGGTGCTGGTAAGCATGTCATCCCTGTGTCAGTGGCTTTGTTCTATCAGTTCCTAGCAGTCACTAAAAATGCCATCTGCAGAATCAGGGTCATGAAGCCTAGCCTTTCCCCCAGCCACTGGTGGGCCCTGGCATGGGTGAGGCCCTTCAGGGTAACATGGCATTGCTGAAGCAGAGCAAACCCAAGCCCGTGGCCCAGACCCTAGAAACAGGCAGCCAGGCCCCCGAGAGAGTGTCTGTAGTTGCCTCTTGGAAGAAGTGAGGCCAGAAGCGTCAGTGATGTTCTTTAAAAGGAAGTTTGAGGCCACAATCTGCAGAGGCTAGGAGCTGAGAGCAGCAAAGCCTGGCACATGGCAAGCAGGTTGATACAGGGAAGTGGCCATTGCTTTGAAAACTGAAACCAAGCCGCCACCTTTGCAGGCACAGCCCCCGAGTAGCTTCAGCTCCTCTTTGCCATGTGTGTGCCCACTGCAGGTCAACTTCTCCTCGGTGGTCTTGGTTGCAATTTGGAGAAGTAACGCACTTCCATTTGGTGTGAGGCCAGGAGAGGACGATCAGGTTTTGGGGGCCAGGCTCAGCGTCCCCAAAGGCAGGTGATTGTTGTGGGGGGGTGGGGCTCTTTCACTTGTTTCAGTAAATTCCCCAACAGTTACCAGCTGGTGGTGACACCACATGGCAGAGCATGCCTTCCTCCAAGGCCACACCTGCCTGCCAGGCTGATGGGACAGGACTCACCCACAGTTGCAGGGGGCTCCCTCCCCACAAGGAAGCCCTAGCCCATGCCTACAGCTGCCTAAAAACCTGGGGCGCTGCATGGCAGAGCACACCTTCCTCCCAGGAGGGCACAGCTGGACATCCCTCTCACCCCTGGCCCTTAGTGGGGCCAGGTGATCCGTGCTGCCCCTCACTGTGGCCCATTCCCAGGCCCAGCCCTGAAAAAGCCTCCTATGCTGTCCTCCCCGCTCTTCCCTCCCCAACAACAGCCCCACCTGGGAGCAGGAAAAGAGGGCCAGGAAGTGTGGGTTCAGTCCTGGCAGGAGCATGCTCACCCCACACTGGAGTCCCTGCCGGGACAGCCTGGGCAGTGCTCTGGGGTGCTGCTGAGCACACTGGCCTAGCCCACACCCCCTTCCAGAGAGTGTCAGCCAAGCAAGAAAAACGCTCCCTACAGAGCACATCTGCACGTTCTGCTGGGGCAACATGAACCCTGAGCTCAGGTTTGCTCAGGGTAGGCTGTCACTTCCTGGTGACCCTTGGCCACATAGAAACTTTCACCTGGGGAAACGAGCAGGTCTGTGCCAGGGGCTCACCCTGCCACAAGCCACACCTGCCTGCCAGGCTGATGGGACAGGACCCACCCACAGGTGCAGGGTGGCTCCCTCCCAGCAAGGAAGCCCCAGCCCATGCTCCCAGCAGCCCAAGGGCCTGGGGCACTCATGTGCACAACCACTACATCATTCCAACTCGAGTGCAGCATCTGGGGAAGTCACACAATGCCAGCCAGCCTTGGTGAAAGTGACCATGTACTCAACTGAGATACTGCGTCCATGACCCCAAGGGGAGCTTGTTCTGGTGGCTGTGGGCACAGAGGCTCTGAGCCATCCTGCCACCTAAAGGGATGACCCTCTCATTTCCCATGCTCTGAGAAAAGGCCGGCACGTGGCCCCATCGCCGCCTTCTCCAGGCTTTGCACAAGGAACTTAGAGCTTTTCAGTACAACCAACGGCTTACAAGACCTTAGAGGCAAACTTTGTGTTTAGGGCAATTGTTGGCAGCTTGGCAACACATTTCCTATTTGCCTTTGCTATTATTTGAACAACTGCTATTACCTGGAACGGCTATTCCCTCCTGCCGCCACAGCATTTGTTTCTCTGGATTAGGAACTAGACTGACCAGGGGCTTCAGGCCCAGATAGGTCATTTTGGAATGACCAAAGGGTATCATTGGTGGCCCCTTTAAGAAAATATCCTGTTTCGTCCAGGTGCGGTGGCTCACGCCTGTAATCCCAGTACTTTGGGAGGCCGATGTAGGAGGATCACCTGAGGTCAGGAGTTCGAGACCACCCTGGCTAACACGGTGAAACCCCGTTTCTACTAAACATACAAAAATTAGCCAGGCATGGTGGCACGTGCCTGTAATCCCAGCTACTTGGGAGGCTGAGGCAGGAGAATCACTGGAACCCGGGAGGCGGGGGTTGCAGTCAGTTGACATTGCGCCATTGCACTCCAGCCTGGGGGACAAGAGAGAGATTTCATCTCAAAAAAAGAAAAAAAAGAAAAAATACCCTATTTCCAGAAGGCCCTGGAAACTAAATTGCACAGTCAACTAAACTGGCAAGAATTCTGCCTACTCAGCTGATAACTCTCTTGGATGGTGAATCTTATTTGCAGGGGTGCTCTCTCCCCACCTTCCTGCTTTCTCTGTCTTATTTAATGTTCAGGAACCAAAAGAGAGGAAAACAAGAGGCAACCTCAGCTTTGTCCACCCTAGGTGAGGTGGTCAGACCCCGCTGGCAACAGCAGCCATTTCTCTCGGGTGACCACTTCAGCCTTCTAGATGAGACTCTCTGCAAACATTATAATTCTTGTCAACGTGCTGCAATTTGAATTTCATGGAAGTTCTACATTTTTTGCTAAAATGACTCATTTCCCCGATGCGGGAGGATGATGAATACCCTACAGATGGCAGCCGCTCCGGTTCTCAGGAGTCTTGTCATTAGGAAGAAAAGGATAAAAACCCCAAACTGGTTATCTACTGAGCAATCCTGAGATGCTCTGGAAATCTGAAAGGCACTGGGAAGAAAAAAAGTGTCACCAATTCTGCTGGGAAGGGGCCAGGGTGTGGGTGGGGGGTGTGGGCAGGGCTGGCTTCTCGCTCTCCCCCTCCCTCCCTGGCAGGCCCATTCTGCACCCCTGCCCTTCCTCTAACGTCTCCTCCTCCTTATCTGTGGATCTTCCTTCTGCTCCTCTGCAGCTGAGGCTTCCTGAGGAGGTAAAGGAGTCAGAGCTCTGCTGACCTTACAGGATTCCCTTGCTTCTGTTTTTCCTGTGCAATGCCCTTCACATGACCTGCTTGAGACCTTTCCTCGGGCCAGTCTGAGGTCCCGTAGGGGACGGCGTAGACCCCAGGAAGGAAGGGCTGGCGCTTCTCTGGGATCACGTCGAGGGAACCAGAGCTGCTGGGGCTCGACCCTGTCTAAAAACAACACAGAGCAGGGCAAAGCCAAGCCACGGTGAGAAAGGAAACCAGAGTCCTCATCACACTATTTGAGGATGCCTGGATCTAGCTGCACCTGAAGCATTCCTCGGGTATGCCAGTTATGCAAGACAGTCCCTTTCTTTTCTGGGGGTGAGATTTCTATCACTGAGCTCCAAGCAAGCAGACATAAAACCCAAAGGCTGCCCAGCACTCTGGGCTTGGAAATCAACTCTGCCTCCAGCCTCTGTCTTAGGGGTTCCAGTGTGGAGACACACAGGCTACTGGTGATGTGCTTACATGATGAGCTTTCCTTTTCCTTCTCCCTGAGGTTAGGTAAGGGCACAGATCTCAGACACTTGCACATGTATTTGCTCCCTAGCCACACACTGAAGATTTCAGCATGAGCTTCAAGTGTTTATGACATGGCAGCAATTGCCACCTCCACCCCCAGGCCACACAGGCTGGCCTGGCAGGGAGCCCCAAGCTCTGGGACTGCCACCCCATGCTGGCCCTCCTTTCCTGTCACTGCCAGCTGCCGTCCTCCTCCCTCTACAGGCCTCCTTAGCTCCTGGAATGCTCCCTCCGGTCGCTTTGTGTTTGCCAGTCCCAGGTCTCACTCTGCAGCAGGCGGCACCATCCCTGCTCCTCACCCTGGGACCTCGCCCCTCACCTTCTGACTCCAGGTGGGTGTGACCTTGTGTGGCAGGGCGGGGAGTGAGGGTAGCTACAGGAGGCTGAGAGCAAGAGGGCAAGCGGCTGTTTCCATGCCACCCCGGCTCCCCCCTCACGTGGTCCCCGCAGGGTGACCGGATGGCAGCACCCTCCCATGAAGCCCATCCTCTGGCCTGGCATCCCCCTCCTCCCCGGAAGCTGCCCCTGTAGCTGCTACCTACTCATTTCTCCAGGGAACTGTTCATCTGCCATGAGGTCCTCAGCCCCGTTTTTGCTACAGGGATCCTGGCCGACACACCTGTTGGTCAGGCAGTGCCCCTGGGCCCGCAGCCATCGCTCCACTGCCAGCCTGCCTCCCCCGCCACCACCCCCAGCAGGCCTCCTGTCAATGGAACCTCTTATTTTCCCTGGGGTCTCTCTTCCTCCCAACTACCTTACAAGCCCATGAGGTGATGACTCTGGTTTTCCCAAAAGCAGCCCCCTCTCCCTGGATGCTCTTCCCTCTTACCTGGGAACAGCTTTCTCACTCAACTCTCCCTTCCTCCATGAAGCCCTCCCTGACTGAGGCTAGGGGCCGACCCCCTGCGGAGTTGAGCCCCCCGCCATGTGCACCCTAGACACCTCCATCCTCTGCTTCCCAGCCACTCGCCACATCCCGTCTGACCTGCACACAGACAGTGCCCAAGCAGTGTTCAAGTCAACGGATTCATCTGTTTGCTAAGGCCAACGCTACAGAGAAAAGCACTTGGGTTGGTTTTAGAAACGATTATTCTAAGATTAAAGTGCCACATCAACACATTACCTATGAAGGAGAAGAAATGTTCACATATCAAAACTCATTATTAGCTCAGATAGGAAAAGAAAACATGGCCACCAGCAGTTTTAAAATAAGTATCTCTGAAATGCCACGCAGCTTCCTCCTGTCCCTCTGAATCACCATTCATTCACTTCTCCTGGCTGCCCTGGGCTGAGTGCTGAGGAGGCCTAGCATCATCAGAGCTGGCAGGAACGGCTGTCCATTAGCAGCGTTCCACACACTGGAAGACGCTGCAATTAGATTGAGCTATCAGAGGGGGTTTCCATAAATCTCTCGGCATTCTGCTTAATGATCCTCAGCTGTCCTTTCTTCCCTTTGCAGACAAGAGCTGGGAGACATTTTGTAGACCAAAGGCACTTTGTTCTGCAGAGCACTTTCTGCCTGTGTGGGAGGACGCCCTGGCATATCAGGAGAGGCCATGGGTGTGTGTTAATTATGCACTCTCTCCTGCAGACCTCCAACAGTCCCCAGCCTCCCCCACCAGTTTCCATTTGCACTGACCCCATTCACCCCTAGCTATTTTATACATGCTCCTTGTAATCAAACCAGGACTGCTTGGACATCTGCATGGCTATTTTGGGGCTTCTAGGAGACTGAGGAAAACAATCTTATTTTCAACGATCCACAAGGATGTGACATCATTCTGAAAAGTCAGGCTGGCTGGGCTGGGTGACTCATGTCTGTAATCCCAGCACTTTGGGAGGCAGAGGCTGGAGGAACACTTGAGCCCAGGAGTTTGAGACTAGCCTGGCCCACATAGTGAGACCCCATCTCTACCAAAAGAAAAAAACAAATTAATTAAAAAAAGAGTAAGGCTTTCCAGGAGGCCAAGCAGGTGTGACTGCTCTGTGAACCGTGAGAGACCAATTCCGCAGCATATACAAAACCCCCGTTGGGACAGCACAGCCTTTCCTCCAAACCGCAGCTCCGGCAAGGGCAGAAGCGAGGCACCTGTGAGGATGCTGAAGGGCACATCACTTTGGACAAACAACTTTCCTTTGTTTGCTTTGGTTTGACTCCAAGTGGGAAAATCCTGGCCGCTTCCTACTGGTTCTCCATCTTATATCTCTCCCTCCCCTCGGGATGCTTTTCCTGGCTTTTTCCTGGGAACTGCTCGGGACAAAGCCCAGGGCCCCGCTGCACGTGCAGCCTCCCAGGCCCTCCACACCAGCCTCCCTGCCTCCTCCTTCTGCAGCTCCCTTGCCCCGCGGGCAGCCTAGGCGCTCACGCACCCCGCAAACTCCTATCCTTCCGTGCCGGAACACCCCCAGCTCTAGGGCTGGGGGTGCAAGGGCACTGAGAGCTGGGTACGAAGAAATCAAGATCCCTGCTCCCTACTCTTGATTTTCTGCAGTGGTTCCAGAAGGAAACCGTTGCCTCCTTCAGTTTTGCTTTGAGACAAGGTCTCCGCTCTGTCACCCAGGCTGGCGTGCCGTGGCGCGATCTCGGCTCACTGCAGCCTCAACCGTCCCGGGCTCAGGTGATTCTCCCACCTCAGCCTCCCCAAAGCGCTGGGAACACAGGCGCGCGCCACCACCACAGGCTAATTTTTAAATTTATTGTAGCGATGAGTTGGTGGTGGTGGGGGGTCTTACTCTATTGCCAAGACGGGTCTCGAACTCCTAGATTCCAGCGATCCTCCCGCCTCGACCTCCCCAAGTGCCGGCTGCCTCCGTATTTGCTGTGTCTGGGGCTTTGCCCTCTGGCGGGCTCCGTGGCAGAGACCGGCCCCTCGCCGCAGGTGGACCCGCTCCGTGCTTGTCGCGTGGGCTCGCGGCGGCCAGGAGCCTGAGGGACGCTGCGTGAGGGCTCTCATTCCACTGTCCCAGGACCCCCAGCAGTGACTGCCACACTGAAAGTGCCAGAGCAGGGGCCTGCGGCGGGGCCCAACCCCGGGAGGACGGCCCTGGAGAGGCGGCCAGGAGGTGGGGGCTGCTCGCCGACCTAGGCAGGCGCTGCAGGACGCCCGAGGGCGGGGTGACGCGCTGGAGACCCCGAGGAGACCCCGAGGCCACGGGTGAGCAGGGGAGACGGGAGGGAGCGGCCGAGGGGCGTGGAGCTGCAGCAGGAGGTCGGGGAAGCAAAGGGCAGCCGCGCTCAGGCCCTGGTGGGGAGAGGAGGTTCCGGGGCTGCAGTGAGGGGAAGCCAGCCGGGGGGAGGCCAGCGGAGGCCAGGACTTCACGGGAGCGGGGCGCTAAGAGGCCGCTGGACGGGGCGGGGCGAGGCGAGGGCGCCACAGGTGTGCCACAGGTGCGGGGCGCTAGTGCGAGAAGCAGGAGCAGCGGGGAAGGAAGGGAGGCCGGCGGGGGTGCACCCACCCCTTCCTCCGCGCTCCCCGTCCCTTTTCTCCCTCATTCCCTCCCTCCACGCCCCCTCCACGCTCTCCTCCTTCCTTCCGCGACCCCTCCCCTCCATGCCTCCCTTTCCCTTTTTCTGATTTTTGTTGAAAAGGCCTATGTGTATTTACAGGCTGGGAGGGGGAAAACTGCCCCTTCTTTAACTCTCCCTTCCATCCCTCGATATTCTTAATCCCTCAGGCGGTTGGTCTCACAGGACTTTAGAAGAAAAAAAATCTGATTAAACCTCTATGCTCAGGTCTGTAATCCCAGCACTTTGGGAGGCCGAGGAGGGCAGATCATGAGGTCAGGAGTTTGAGACCAGCCTGGCCAACACGGTGAAACCCTGTCTCTACTGAAGATACAACAATTAGTCAGCATGGTGGTGGGCGCCTGTGGTCCCAGCTCTTTGGGAGGCTAAGGCAGGAGAATCGCTTGAATCCGGGAGGCAGAGGTTGCAGTGAGCTGAGATCAGGCCACTGCACTCCAGCCTAAGCAACAGAATGAGACTCTGTCTCAAAACAAACAAACAAACAAACAACAACAACAAAAAACAGCCGGGCTTGGTGGCTCATGCCTGTAATTCCAGGACATTGGAAGGCCGAGGGTCAGATCACGAGGTCAAGAGATTAAGACCATCTTGGCCAACATGGTGAAACCCCATCTCTACTAAAAATACAAAAATTAGCTGGGGGTGGTGGTGCCTGCCTGTAGTCCCAGCTACCCTGGAGGCTGAGGCAGGAGAATCTCTTGAACCTGGGAGGGGGAGGTTGCAGTGAGCTGAGATGGCACCACTGCACTTCAGCCTGGGCAACAGAGTGAGACTCTGTCTCAAAAATGAGAAAAACCAACCAACCAAACAAAAACACACACACAAACAAAAAAACAACTCTGTTCTTAGCCCGGGGGGGACAGTGCGGGTCATGGCAGGACAGGGTGGGGCGTTTGCCGCTTCTGGCTGGCTAGCAAGTGGTACAGCCTTCCTGGCTCCCAGAGGCAGACGCCTTGCCTGCTGGCAAATCCCCCCAGGGCCAGTTCCTCTTTTCACCTCCAGTATCTGCCCTGCAGGGCCCAGGCAGCCTCCGGCCCTGGGACACATCCTCTGCAGGCTGGAGAAGGGCTGAGTTCCACACAGCCTGGAAGGTGGGAAGTATCCCAAGGACACATTTCCTCAGTCACCCTCCTGCCTGACCCACCAGGGAAAATGGGAGGGGACCAGATGCTCTGTGTCTCCAGATTTCCTGGAATGCCTTGAACACACACATAGCAACAGGACAGGGGTGCTCAAAGGCTACCGCATCCCAAACTCAACCTTCAAAGAAATGGTAGATCTTCCCAAAGCAATGTCCATGTGGTGAAACCTTCTTTGCAAAATCCTAACAATTATGACAAGAAAAGAAATCTGACCTAACTGATTCCATCTTGCTTCTCACCTCCAAGCTGTTCTTGTTACGGGAAAGAGGCAACTGCCTGCCTCTTTCCTGGAAAACTCATATATAATCCACCCCTTGTTTAGCATATAATCAATAAATAAGACTCAGTTGAGCAACTCATGCCTTTGAAGTAGCCAACTTGATGGACTTGCCCTGAATTTTTTCTTGTGTGAGATCCAAGAACCCTTCCTCTCTTGGTATCTGGATCAGGAAGCCTTGCCAGTAATAATTTCATCTTCTACCCAACCAATCAGCATTTCCCATTTTCCAATCCCCAACCCACCAAATTATCCTTAAAAACCCAGATCCCCAAGTTTTCAGGGAGACTGGTTTGAGCAGTAATAAAACTCCAGACTCCCGTACAGCCGGCTCTTCGTGAATTAAACTCTTGATTGCAATTTCCCCGTCTTGATAGCTCAGCTCTGTCTAGGCAGTGGGCATGGAGAGCCCGCTAGGCAATTACACATGGATGGTGTGCGGTACCTCCATGTTCAAGCAGCCAGAAGACTCCCTGGTCCAAGCCCCTGGATAACTGGAATTTCCCATACTTGATTTAACTCAGAAAAAAAAAAAAAAAAATAGGGAGTGTAACAGTGTTTTTCTTTATTTTTCACTTGGAAATAATTTTTAATCTTTGGGGGTACTCAAGGACCCATTTGAAAATTGGACAGCAGATTTCCTCAGAGAAGCAGACCTTAAAAATAAAGATTGTACATACCATGTTGGGATCCACAGGCCCTAGGATAAGAATTCCTGTAGTAAACTAGGCACTGTGGCTCATGCCTGTAATCCCAGCACTTTGGGAGGCCAAGGTGAGTGAATCACTTGAGGCTAGTAGTTTGAGATCAGCCTGGCCATCATGGCAAAACCTCATGTCTACTAAAAATACAATACATTAGCCGAATGTGGTGCCGCGTGCCTGTAATCCTAGCTACTCGGGAGGTTGAAGCACCAGGATTGCTTGAACCAGGGAGGCAGAGGTTGCAGTGAGCTGAGACTGCACCACTGCACTCCAGCCTGGGTGACAGAGTGAGATGCTGTTTCGAACAAACAAAAACAGAATCCCTGTAGTAAACTGTCTCCTTCCAGCCCCGGGAAGCCATGGCAGCCAACTGTGCCCACTGCCAATTCTGTACCACTGTGGGTGGAATTCAAGGCAGATGGGGGCTCTTTGGGGACATGGTGGCAGGTGCTGCCTTTGATGAGGATCACAGCCTCTCAGCCTCTGAAGCTGGGAGACTCGCTGGGATCACCTGTCTAAACAGAGAGCCCAAGAGGAACCCAGAGACATTCACAGGGAGTGAGTGGCTCAGATCTGGAGCCAATTTTTATGTTAAAAGGTTTCTCTTTTTAATAAACGACCACTGGGACCCAGATGAGAAATGAAATGTTGGAACAGCAAAGCAAAAAAAAAAAAAAAAAGCCACCCTGCTGAGAAATGAAGGATGGGCTTGAGCTGCTTTCCCTCAAACACTTCTCACATCAAATACGGGGTTTCTTCCCACACCAGCCAGGTCTCCAGTACCAGCTGAGTGTCCCATGATTCAATTCAGTTCCGACACTAACTAACGTCAGACTCAACAGGTTCAGGGGCTCAGTCCCACAAGACTGTCTACACCGTAGACGCCACTCACAAGTCTTAGGTACTCGGGGAACCTACACTACTCTCTGACTTGGCTACAAAGTCAGGAGGCTCTTAGAATCCCCACCTCTCTCAGTTCAAAAATTGGCTAGAACAGCTCACAGAAACCCAGAAAACACTTGTTTACTATTACCAGATTATTGCCGTGGACACAGACAAACAGTCAGGGCTAGGTCTGGAAGAGCCCTGAGCCCAGCAGTTTCTGTCCCCACGGAGTCAGGGTGTGCCGCCCTCTCAGCACATGGGTGTGTCTGCCAACCTGGAAGCTCTCCAGACCTCAGTGTTCAGGAATGTTTAGGGAGTTTTCATGACATAGGCATGATTCATTAGATCACTGACCACTGGTAATTAACCCAATCTCCAGCCTGTCTCCTCTCCCCAGAGGAGATTTGCCTCGAGTGGGGCTGAAAGTTCCAACCCCCTAGTCCTGCCATGGTCCTTCTGGGACCAGCCCTTATCCTGAAGCTGTTCAGCGGCTCCCAGTCACCAGGCATCTCAGTAGCACAGAAGAGACATTCATTCCTCTCACTGCAGAGATTCCAAAGGTCTTAGGCCCTCTGTGCCAGGGACGAGGACAAAGACCAAATATATGTTTCTTATTATATTACCAGGCTTCACCTTTTAACTTTCCCCAGGCATGAGGCCCTGGATGGCTGAGGGTCCTCTGTGCCTGGGATACCGGGACCCCTCACTACAGGCCCTTTGTGTAGGTTCCTTGGAGGGACCCAAGCAATTCTATACCCCAATTTTTGTTTTCTTTTTCTTTAAAGAGAGCTCCGGGTAGCATAAACCTCAGGCCCCACATATCCGCTTCAGTGTGTAAAATGGTTTGGCTTTTCTCATCCCAGAAGTGACAGCAGTGCCCTGAATGAGTTACCAACCCCTAGTCCAGAACCTCTTAACTGGTTGTATTGTAAGTCGAAAACATATTCAATTTCCAAGGCGTCCTGTGATCACAAATACCTAGTCCTCCAAAGGCCTGAATCAACTTGTGAGTCAACTTTCCCCACCCCTCAGGGATTCCGTAGATCCCTGGGAATCAGCGCTGGGTCCACTGTTCTGGGCAAGACCCTCCAGGCATCCTGCCCCAGAGCCGTTCATGTCTAGGCAGAGCAGACTTGCCTCTAGCACCCTGTTTGGGAACCCAGGCACCTTTCTCTGTTGCTTACCTTCCATCTCCCCTGCCTGCCAACCACACTGCTGCTATCTCCCTTCAGTGCCCAGCCCCTAACGTGGACCCTGCCTTGCAGGTGAATTTGACAGCCTGCATTTAGCCTACCTTAAAATGGCTTCAGAATAAGATATTCAAAATCTGCATGTCACTCCAGTTTATCATAAATACGAGATGCAACAAACTCTCTTATCTTGACAGCTGAGCTGACATGGCTTCAGAATGAATAGCATCTTGAAGTTCTGACTCGTGATGAAAGCACATGGGGATTGCAGGGACAGGCTGGAGTGTCATTTTTAAGCACAGTCAACATGCTTTTGACGGGACAGACACACGGTGGGATTGGTTCTTTGCTGCTCCAGACAGCCACTGCACATACAGCTAGTGCCTCACTATTTATGTTAATAGGGACAGGGATGACATGGATCATTGAAATAAGCATGTCATTAACAAATAAGATGCACTGGGGAAGTAATTCAATCACCTCTCTCCAGGATCCAGGATCCTTTTAAGGGAGCTGCTGGAAAACACTCCATGGGTCCTCCCTTTGGGCCCTGCATCCAATGAATGGGGTGGTAGACACTGTCCATTCCCTTCTTCCAGGAGCCTCCTGGGAAACCAGATAAGGATCACCTCTGGATAAGCCTCGGACGTGATGGGCATTTCCTTAAGAACTGTCTCTGTCCATTTTCTGTTGTAAATAATAGAATATTTAAAACCCAGTAATGGCTAAGTAATGAGATTTGTTTCTTACAGTTCTGGAGGCTGGGAAGTCCATGGTCGAGCGGCTGCATCTGGTGAGGGCTTCTTGCTGGTGGGGACTCTCCGCAGAGTCCTGAGGTGGTGCCGGGCACACAGGGCAAGGGGGCTGAGCATGCTGAGTCACATCTCTTCCTTTTCTTACAAAGCCACCAGACCCACTCTGTGATAACACATTAAACCATTAACCCATTAGTCTATTAGTTCATGAATGGGTTAATCCATTCACAAAGGCAGAACCCTCATGACCCAATCACTTGGTTTTTTGTTTTTTGGGTTTTTTTTTTTGAGATAGAGTCTTGCTCTGTTGCCCAGGCTGGTGTGCAGTGGCATGATCTCGGCTCACTGCAACCTCTGCCTCCCAGGTTTAATCAAATCTCATGCCTCAGCCTCCCAAGTACTGGGATTACAGGTATGTGCCACCACACCCAGCTAATTTTTGTATTTTTAGTAGAGATGAGTTTCACCATGTTGGCCAGGCTGGTCTTGAACTCCCGACTTCAGGTCATCCACCTGCCTCGGCCTCCCAAAGTACTGGATTACAGGCCTGAGCCACTGGCACCCAGCCCCCAATCACCTGTTAAAGGCCCCACCTCTCAATACTGCCACAGCAGGGATTAAGTTTCAACCTGAGTTTTGGAGGAGACAAACACTCAAAGCATAGCAAGAACCAAGGGTTCAATGCAATTCCATTCCCTCCTCCTGAAGTAATCCCAGGAAACAGCACCCTTGGGCCTCACCGCAACTGTGTGTGTGGGAAAGGAACTTTACTCTGCTTTAGGCCCCACTGAAAAACTAGTGGAAACCATCTTTGGGGGTGGAGCCTGAGTGTGGGAGAAAGTGAGTGTGTGTGTGTATAAATGTGTGAGTGAGAGTCGTAGGACTGTGTGAAAGTGTGTGTGAAAGAGTTGTGAGAATTGAGTATGAACGTGTGTGAGCATGAGGAAGTATGTGTGTGTGTGTATAAGAGTGTGTGTGAAAGTGTGTGTGAGACCAGGTATGTGTGTGTGTGTGAGCAACTCATGTGAGTATGAGAGAAAGCGTATGTGTGTGTGTAAAGCCATTTCCTTACCTAGAGGACCTGTAGTGAGAGCCGGGGCTAGAGGCGGCTGCCTGGCAGAGTCAGAAGAGTCCCTCGTGGAGGCCCTGGAAGAAGCCTGTGGGGAGCTGGCCCTCCCACTGAGCTCTGTCCTCCACACCAGGTCCTTCCCGACTCCAGCTCTTCATCCTGAAGACATATAACATGGAACGTTTACTTTTACTTTGTCTTTATTTAAGTTACATTTTCTAATTTCAAAATATTACACGTCAATTGAGTAAAAGCATAAACAAGGACAATTACAGTTTGCAAATCTACTTCCCACCCCAGGTAGCACAGTTAATATTTTGGTGTATTGGCTTTGAATCTTGTTTTACATCATTTTTTCTGGTGTGGAACCACACTGACTATGTGGCTAATGAGCCCATGATTCTCCACATCTTTAACAACTTCCCATGACATTAAACATGCTTCCAGGGCCACGTTCTGCACAGATTCCAGCCAGTGGGGAAGTCATGATTCGACTAAAGTTAGGCATTAAGTAATTAATTTTTTTCCGTTATATAAATTTATACAGTGTCTTTATATATGCGTACTTGACCCACTAGATAAGCGTTTATCTCATTACAGACATTACAACATAGCTATTTTCCCCTGCCCCACATCCAGAATGCAGGATGAGTACCACAGCACAGTGAAAGAAGGCCAGTTTAAAATTGACAGGCCACAGCCTGCAACTGGCATAGCAGCCGGATTTGTTCGAGGGGTTTGTATTTGTTGTTTGTTTTGAGACAGAGTCTTTCTCTGTTGCCCAGGCTGGGCAAGTTGCCTTGGCTCACTATAACCTCTGCCTCTGGGTTCAAGTGATTCTCGTGCCTCAGACTCCCTAGTAGCTGAGACTACAGGCACCCACTACCACGCCCAGCTTATGTTTGTATTTTCACCATGTTGGCCAGGCTGGTCTCGAACTCCTGAGCCCAAGTGATCCACTAGCCTCGACCTCCCAAAATGCTGGGATTACAGGTGAGAGCCACCACCCTCGGCCTATTTTTGTTTTTGAAATGGGGTCTTGCTTTGTTGCCAAGGCTGGTCTCAAACTCTTGTATTCAAATGATCCTCCCACTCAGTCTCTCAAGTAGCTGCAATTACATGTGTAAGCCACCACACCAGGTTTTGATCTGCCAGAGGTTTTTTGTTTGTTTGTTTTTGAGATGGAGTCTCCTTCTGTCGCCCAGGCTGGGAGTGCAGTGGCGTGATCTTGGCTCACTGCAACCTCCACCCCTAGGGTTCAGGTGATTCTCCTGCCTTAGCCTCCTGAGTAGCTGGGATTATAGGCATGCACCACCATGGCTGGCTAATTTTTGTATTTTTAGTAGATTACCTGTTGGTCAGGCTGATCTCGAGCTCCTGGCCTCATGATTCGCCCGCCTCAGCCTCCCAAAGTGCTGGGATTACAGGTGTGAGCCACTGTGCCTGGCCTTGTTTTTTTAAAACATTTTTTCAGTGTTTTTTTCTCACACATTAAAAAAGTGTGATACAATTCACATATAAAATTCAGCCTTTTAAAGTATACTATCCAGTGATTTTTAGTGTATTCACAGAATTGTGCAATCCTCACCACTATCTAATTGCAGAACATTTTCATCCCCTAAAATAAACTCCATATCCATGAGCAGTCATCCTCATTGCCCCTCCAGCCCGGGCCCTGGCAACCTCCAACCTCCTTTCTGTCCCCATGGTTTGCCCATTCTGGATCTTTCCTATCAGTGGCATCAGACAAAATGTGGTCCTTGGTAACTGGCTTCTTTTGCTTAGGGGCGAAGGAGAAATTTTCCATTTGCCTCTGAAGTTTTGCTGAAAAGTAAACTCTCAAAGAACAGATTAATTGGAGAAAAGGTACACAAATTTATTCAGTCATAGTTTTAGGTGACAAGAGAGCTTTCAGAATGAAGACCCAAGCCCCGAAATGGGGGAAGAGGCTTGTCTATAGGAAGAATGGGGGCCTGGATCTGGGCAGAACAGGTTACGGGAGCAGGAGAAGAGGGATTCTGTGGAGAGGCAATAAATGACTGGAGAAGATTCAAAGCACTTGGAGAACGCATCATGGTCTGTGGCAAAGTCTGTTGGGCCCCCAGAGCAGACAGTGGTTTGTGACAGAAGTCTGTACAGGTGTGTTAACAGACTTCAGTTTTCATTCCTGAGACATGGGTGCAGTTAATGCAAACTCAGGGAAGGGACTGGAGGTGACTGTTTCTTCTTTGGTAGGCCCAGACTTTAGGCAGACAAGGGAATGTCAGAGAAGCCTCTGCTTTGGGGCAGGAGGGAGGGGAGAGACCTTGAAACTCCATTTTCAGTTCAGCATGTACAAAGCATCATATTTTGGGGCATCAGCTTCTGAACCCCAGCGATGTTTTCAAAGTTAATCCATGTTAGAGTATCAATCACTATTTCATTCCTATTTACCGCCAAATAGTCTCCTGTTGTATAGATATATATGATGACATGTTATTCTGTTCATCAGCTGATGGGCGTTTGAGTGGCTTCCACCTTTTGACTTTTTTTTTTAATTTGAGATAGAGTCTCCCTCTGTCGCCCAGGCTGTAGTGCAATGGGACTATCTTGTCTCTTGGCTCACTGCAACCTCCGCCTCCCAGGTTCTAGCGATTCTCCTGCCTCAGCCTCCTGAGTAGCTGGGACTACAGGCACACGTCACCATGCCCAGCTATTTTTTTTTTATTTCTTAGTAGAGATGGGGTTTCACCATATTGGCCAGGCTGGTCTCAAACTCCTGACCTTGCGACCTGCCCATCTCAGCCTCCCAAAGTGCTGGGATTATGGGCATGGGCCACCATGCCTGGCCTCCACCTTTTGGCTCTTACAGAGTAATACTGCTAGGAACATTGACATCCAAGTTTCTGTGGGGGCATGTTTTCATTTGTCTTGGGTATACCTAGGAGTGGAATTGCTGGGTCATGGTAATAATATGTTTAATTTTTTGAGGACTCACGAAACTGTTTTCCAAAGTGGCTCCATCTGCCAGAAAGTGAGGCTCTCCTTTTCTGCTTTGTGATTGTCCTTGCTTATTTCTGTTGCGTTTCCCTGGACTGGCAATAGGAGACAATGCCATGGAGAAGAGGGGCTGAGCGGCCTATTGGTTGTGCAGATCAACTGCTCCCTCTTCTGTTGCTAGAGTGAAGGGCAGTTTCTTTAATCAAGGACACCCTTTTTCTTCTGTCATCGATTGCTAGGGTGCTCTCTTGCATCCGCTGGGTCTTTATTATGTTTTTTTAGCCACTTTTTTCTTTCTCTGCCTTCTAGATGTGGTGTAGACACGAGCAATGAGTGTTTTTCTCTCCTTGCTCATTTACAGTTTTAAGGAGAATGGATAGGGAGATTCTAATTTAGCTGCCACTATCCTTTGCGGCATAGTTTCAGATAGTGAAAATGCCATGGGGCGAAGAAAACAGGCCCAGGTGATAGAGCAAATAGCAGTTCTCCATCTATAGGATATAGAATGATTTTATGCACTGAAGTGTGTCTCCCAAAAAGATATCTGCAAGTCCTGGCACCTATTTCGAAATAGGCTCTTCACAGAAGTAATCAAGTTAACATGAGGTCATGGTGAACTAGAGTGGGCCCTAATCCAGTATGACTGGTTGTCTTTTTAAGAAGAGAAGGGTCACAGACACATAGCGGGAACGCCAGATGACAGTGGAGGCAGTGATTGAAATGACGCATCTGTAAAGCAAGGAACATTAAGCGTTTATGGGAACAACCAGATTCTTTCTCAGAGCTTGCAGAGCAAGAGAGCATGGCCCTGCAGATACCTTGATTTTGGATTTCTGGCTCCAGAACTGTGAAAGACTACATTTCTGTCGTTTATGCCATCCAGTCTGTGGTGAGAGCAGCCCTGGGAAACTAAGATGTCAAGGAAGGCCGCTCCAGGAACTGATATCTCAGGGAAGAGCTTTCTTGGCAGAGGACATAACAAGTGCAAAAGTGCTGAGATGGGGACTGGCCTGGCAGGCCCAAGAAGCAAGGATGCTGGACAGCAGCTGGTGCAGGCACGGCGAGGACTTCTGATTTGATTCCACGAGGGAAAGGAGGCTATTGTAAGCAGGGAACAGCACAGTGAGATTTTCATGATCAAAACAGTCTAGCTTGTCCATGGAAAATAGAATTTGGGAGAGAAGACAATGGGGGAGAC